GTTTTTTTTTTTTTTTTTTTTTTTTTTTTTAATTTCCCATACTGGGGATTGAACTCAGGACTTGTGCTTGCGAGGAGGGTGCGGTGACACTGAGCTAAATCCCCGGCCCCTGAAGTCTCGAGCATCTGGGATCAGCTGTAGGGTCTTCATCCCCCATAATCCTGTCCACACCAGTCCTGGCTCTCAGACGCTACAGAGAGATGCATCCTGGTAGCCTGGCCCTTTTCCTGAAAGGCTAGTTGTGCAGATTGGCCAGACCTTTACAGCCTGTTAGGGCTGAGGGTTAACTCCAGCTTTGTCTATTGAATTCATTTTCTACTGCCCCCAGTTAAAATCACAGTAGAGGGCAGTGCCTCTGTGGTGATCTCAGTCTCTTGTGCTTCCAGGCCCTGAGCCTCCCTCTCCTCCCATGTGTGTTAGAGATGCAGGAGCATGGGCCACATATGTGTCCTGACACAGATGTGCTTGCATAACCGAGCTCTCCATTGTAACTTGGGTCAGCAGCCCTACCCATGTGCTGCCGCGTACTTGGAAGAAACAGTGCTACGCCTGGGAACCGGCACATTTTATCAGCTCCTCATTGTTCCAGGACAACAGCCCAGATTGTGGGGCCTGGATTGGGGCCTTTTACACCACCCCCATCTTGCCTTCCTTCCCTTGCTTTCTACATCCCCTCCCCAGTACTGGGGATTGAACCCATGACCTTTGCATTAAGCTATAACCCAACTCTTTTGTCATTTTTTAATTTTGAGACAGGGTCTCTCTAAATTGGCCCGGATGGGCTCAGACTTGCAATCCTCCTGGCTCAGCCTCCAACAGTGCTAGAATTACAGGCATACACCACCGCACCTGACTTCTACATCCTTCTATGTCAGGCAGCCACGCATTGCAGAAGCCTCCTTTACTCGTGGTACTTCTGCCTCAGCCTGGAGTCTTCTTCCCTGTTCATTAGTTCCAGAGCTGCTAATTGATAACTTTTTCTGTGCCAGGCACTATTTCAGGCACTGGGTATAAAATGGATTAAGAAGAATAACTTTAGGGCTGGGAGTTTAGCTCACTGGTGCTGTGCCTGCCTTGCAAGTGCAAGGTCCTGAGTTCAATCCCCAGCACCCGCCCCCTCCCAAAAATAATTTTTAAAATCCCTGCATTCATGGGACCGATATTTTAATTGGGAAGGGTACAGAAAATAAGTTTGTGTCAGATGATGATAGGTGCTTTGGAACCAAGCAAGGGCTAGGACAGGGCATGGTGGCAGTAGAGTAGAGTTGGTCATTTGTAAGTAGAATAGACAAGGAGGCCTGAGAAAAAGTAAGGCACTTTAAGAATCCCTACCATGTTTCTTTTCTCTTTTTTTTGCAGCACTGGGAATCAATCCCAGGACTCTGCACATGACAGTCAATCGCTCTCTTCGCAGAGCTACACCCTCAGCCTAACTGCTCTGCTGAGCCGCTCAGATCTCCTGTTGCAGGGGTGAAGCCTTCCCCAGGGCAGAGCTGGTCAGCGCTTAGTCCTGGCTCAGGCTGGGTGCTCAGTGAGTTGAATAAATGAATCTGGAAATTGGACAATCACACATTAAAAAAAACTACTATGAATTGGGTGTTGGAGGTTATTTCTTTTCCATAATGTATGTAGCTCCATAATAAGCAAGTAACTTAAAATACATTTTAAAAGGATTTTTCGAAGCCAGGTATGGTGGTGCACATTTGTAATTCCAGCATGTTGTGAGGCCAAGGCAGGAAGATTGCAGGTTTGAGGCTATCCTGGGGAATTTAGCAAGATTGGCTCAACATAAAAGTAAAAAGGGGGTGGACTAGGGTGTAGTTCAGCGGCAGATCACTTGTCTAGCACATGTGAGGCTCTGGGTTCAATCCACACACACATACAGGCACATTCACATACATACATGCACACGCCGAATGCCAGGTAATGGGGAACAGGAAGTAGGTTGTTGCGGTCTAGGTGAGCAGAAGAGGAGCTGGGATGAGGGCTCCTATTCCGCAGCTTCCTGAAGCTGTCACGCAGTGTCTTGCCCACAGTTGGATCGCTCAATCCGGGATGTGGAGCTGGGCCTCAACTATGGAACCCCCACAATGAACTTGGCGGGGCAGAGCCTGAAGTTTGAAAAGGGCCAGTGGATAGCAGGTGGGCCGCGTCTCCTGCTGTCTTGCCAGAAAAGGCTGCGGAAATAAACCCCCGGGTAACTCCACCTCTGTCCTTCCTCCAGAGGCCGGGATCAGTGGGGGTGTGGACCAGAGGGAGGCCCAGCGCCTCCGCAGGCGGAACCAGCAGCTGGAGGAAGAGAACAATCTCCTGCGGTTGAAAGTGGACATCCTGCTAGATATGGTGAGGAAGGGGAGGGGTGGGGGTGCCCGGGATGTCCCTTGAATGTTTTCATCCCACCAGTATCTCACAGTACCCCTTTGCCCAGATACATTGCTTTGTATCAAAGACCAAAACAAATCCAGGTGTGGCAGCACATGCCTGTAATTCCAGCATGTAGGAGATTGAGACAGATCACCACAGGTTCATGGCCAGCTTGGACTACACAGCGAGACCTTGTCTTAAAACAAACAAACAAACAAACAAAACTAAGATACAGTCCCACCTTTGAGGTCTGGACAGGACCCACAGTTTTTTTGTGTTTGTTTGTGGTGCTGGGGATCGAACTCTGGCCCTTGCTCTTGCGAGGCAGGCAGTAGAACCACTGAGCCCAATCCCTGGCCCTGGATAGGACCCATAGTTACAGTGCCTTTTGGTAGGGCCAGAGTTCAAGTCTATACAGGGTCTGGCGTTGGCCCAGGAGGTTAGTTTTGCCCGGTCAGGAGACTTCACGGAGGAGAGGACATTTGAGCTGAACGCTGAAGGACAGCGGCAGGGTGGGGCGGGGTGGAGGAGAAAGGAGTGGTGCCAGACCGGCGTCAGACCTACAGGGGGCGCTCGCTGTATCAGGTGACCTGTGGGGCCTGGAAGGTCTTTGGGGAGTTTGCCTGGCATTCGGCAGGGGCGCACTATCGGGATCGGAGAGGGCATCCTGGCGGTGACACCAAGAAAATGGGCATCACAGGACCATGGACCTCGTAGTCAGTTAATCAAGCCCAACCTTGGAAGGGTGCGTCGCTCAGGAAGCACAGGCCTTATTTCCTAGTAAACCAACCTCCACTGTAGGGTTGATGTCTCTCTGTCTCTGTCCTGATGTCTTCCTCCAACTTCTCTGACGTCTAGTGAAAGATCCCAATGAGCCAAGTTATGTTCTTTTTAAGGCATTCCCCCTGAATTGTGATTATGTGAGCTGCAGCTTGGTAGCAACTTAAACTCTAATTGCTTAGCCTTAGAATCACCATTGTGTCTTTTTTATCCTTGGAGGCCTGCTGTCCTCACACGGCGTGCCATGAATCATTGCTCATCAGATGTGGGCAGAGTGGATGGTGAATGTTCTTCAAGTACCTGTGCTCCTGGGTCCTTGGGTGGCTACTCAGCCAGGCTACCCAGTTTCCCAGGGTGGCCTTGCAGACGCCAGCACAGCCCAGAAATGTCCTCCTTTATAACACTTGCCACTTCCCTTTCAGCTTTCAGAGACCACTGCTGAATGCCACTTAATGGAGAAGGAACTGGACAAACTGAAGAGTGTCAGTCGGAGAAGGAAATAAGACCCCGAGATGCTGGTTAGGAGCAGGGAGAATCCCACCTTAGCGGGGAAGTAGGGTGAAACGGAGCAGTTTGGTTTTTAGCAAAAGTAGTAGATTTGGCCCCGGAGCGAGCAACAACAGGCATTGGCACCCTTTCTTGGCAGAAGGAAGGTGGCACAGGATGGAGGAAGCCAGGAAGCCAGGGCAGTGGCTGGGATGCCAGTCTGCAAGCCGAGGGGGTTGGTGAGCGTCGGATGCAATGGCGAGAGTCCCCACTACCCTGTGGCACAGATGCTGTTGGGAGCTGCAGCTGAACTCCATCATCTCCCCCCTTACGCTGGGCTTGAGGGTGGCACTAGTTCTACCGCCACATTTAGGGGTCTGGGGTGAGTGACTCTCTTGTTCTCTGCCCCTGCCCCTCTGCTGGGCCACTCACCCGCAGCCTGTAAAGAATGCTTCTCCCCAAATCCACAGCTCCTCTGGCTTCAGCTTCCCAGCAACAAGCGCCAGCCTTCCAAAGCAACGCCATTTTTGTGCTGCTTTCCTGTTTATACTATTTCTTTTTTATTAAATGATGCTGAATAATCTCTCTGTGGCCAAAATGACTGCTAAAAAGCATGGGTTCCTAAAGAAGTAACAGGAAAGACCAAACGGTCAGGGGATGATACAGCTTTCCTGTTCCCCAGAGGAAGTGACCCGGAAGTGAAATCATATCTGTGTGGTCAGATTCTTTTGCCCTCCTGCTTTGGAGAGTGTAACTGACCTAGCCCAGCAGGGATCAGAGGTTGGCACAGGAATTCCTACCTGAGTCAGTGTGAGCCGGGTCTCCATGTGGAGGGGAACCCAGTGGTCTTGGTACAGGCACAGAGCCCAGGTGTCTCAGCCACAATGCATGCCTGGTACCAAAGTCTTTTGCACACACCATCTCCTTGCTCCCAACATAGACCTGTGCAGCAAGACTGTCAGCATGACTATCGGCAGGTAAGGAGTCAGACAGTGCAGGGATCACATGGCAGGGCGCTAGAGCGTGCTAGTTCACAGCCCGCAAGACAGACAGGGTCTTGCTAAGTTGCTGAATTGACCAGGCTGGGCTTGACTTTGGAGTCTCCTGTCTCAGCGTCCAGGATGCTGGGACTATTGAGGCATATGCTACTGCAGCTGGTTCAAATGTGGGAGAGCCTTGGAGCGTCTGTAAGATTCTCAAAGGGGCCTATCTGACCCCATCTCAAAAATAAAAAGGGCTGAGGATATAGCACAGTGGTCAAGCACTTGCCTAGCATACACAAGGCACTGAGCTCTGTCCCCAGCACCACACACACACACACACACACACACACACACACACACCAAAAGTAAATCAATTAAAAAAAATGAAATCTGAAAAAAAATTCTCCTACTTTTAATAATGATGATCTTCTGGCTTTTTTTTTTTTTTTTTT